GAAAGAGTGGCTGGAGCAGACAAGTGTGGGGCTCCAGAGGAACACTGAGATGAAGGAAGGCCACTCATGTGGCCCACTTACTAATCTTGGTTGTTCATTGCTTGAGTAAGGGGATCCCTGATGCTTCTTCTATTTTCTTGCGCTAGTGCACAGGATTGGCCACAAACTGGCCCTTGATTATTAGACATACTAAGGGCCATATTATGGGTTGGGATTACAAGCAGTTTCCACTGATATCAATGGGAGTCTTGTGTTTATATCCCAAACCAGATTACAGTCCTCAGCAAATAGATAAACGAAAAAGAAAAAAAATGCTTACCAGGTTTTTCACTATTCTTTAGGATCCATATAGGGATGCTTAATCTGTCCTTAAGGGAAGTGGCCTGGCATTTTCTGGGTCATGTCTAAAATAATCTAAAGTAGCAGATTAAGAACCAACTTCCAATTTACTTTTATTGGGTATTGTTTTGTATTACTATATTGTGAGTAAAACTTGTAGGCCTGACACATCGTAGTAGTTCAATAAGCTTTGTTTTATGTAGTTATATAGATTTTGTTTAATAAGTTTAGTTTATAGGAGCTGCTAGGTATTAAAATATATTTTGTATTTGGTATTATAAATTAGTAAGAAATTGTTTAATTTTTTTTAAAAAATTTTGTAAGCTTGTAAGAAATCCTGCCTGCTTCTGTCAAGAGAGAGAAGACTTCAGCATCAGAGGGTTAGAATGGCTAACAAGAAGGCGTGAACTCAGGCATGGGTCAAATTCAGGATGGCCAAAGGGGGCAGAATTGAGGACTTTAAAGCAAAAGTTGGGACTTACAACCATAAAAATGGGGTGTATAGCCATGCCATGAAGTTTTGGGTTAGTCTTTTGAAGACAACTTTGGAGCATCAAACTGTGGCTGACAGAACCCAGCTCTTTTGGTCACTAGGCTGGGATGAGCACCAATAAGACTGGTAATTATGACACCAGCTACAGGACTTACGTGTACGTGTGTGAATGCATATGCCGATTTCTATACGTTATTTGCAATAAACGTGGCATATTGCCTTTTTCCCTTGAAAAAGACTCGAATATGTCTTATAGGTATAACAAGCTCACCTGTAAATTGTATTATTATGGTTACAGATATATCTTGAGATTATTAGCTATTAAATAACAAAAAGAACTTTAGGCACTCATAGCCTGAAAAATTCTATTCATAAACAAAAATATTTAATTACAACGTATTTATCCAATCAAGCATTACTCTCTCCACTAATAACTGTCCTCAAACAATTATTCACAACATAATTTATGCAGGCTTTGATATGAACAATGAATTCATCTGGTTTGAAAACAGGATCCATGAACAAATAGATGTGTGTCAAGTTACGAGGGAGTGGGGAGTAGCATGTCACAGAAATCAGTGTTAAGTGGGGTCTTAATACATTTATTTCCACATCAAATACTAGTTTGATTTAGGTTTGATATTGTTTGGGAATATTTCTTCACACCTCAAACACCTAAGAGCCCGTAAAACAAAGACAGGGCATATATTCATGCCCATCCTGCAAGCATTAGTCCACTGTCATGATACTCAACCATCCAATAACAGTAATACCCTACCTATCTAACACAGTTATTTTCAAGTCAACAATATTATCACTCCTAAAGTACAAAAGTTAAAAAAAAAACAGATTTTCGGAAAATTCATTCTATAGTCAAAGAATAAGTGCTGAAAATTTGGGAAGATTCACTATATTATTCACTATATTATGCAAACAAAACAAAATTTAAACCATGCTCAATGTGCAAATGTAAACATAAGATAAGCTATGGAATCATTTTTTGCAACTTCAAACATTTGTCATGGTAGTTAGCCATTTATCATCCCAATTTACAAATCTAGCTATCAAAGGAATTTATATATACTTTCCCCACTTCGTCTGGGACTGCCTCAGTCCTCAGCCTCCCACCTTTCAATTGTCCTTTACGAAGGACAGGGAGGGCTGAAGATTCCCTCCACCCCACATTTGTATGGGATTGTTGCAGCCAGGTGAAAGGAGCTGGCTGTTCCCCTTCGTCATGGAGCAAGGGGAAAGTGCACAGGGACTAGACAAACCTGCACCTGACTCAGCTGAGTCCACTGGAGCTGCAGCAGCCATGGAGAAGCACTTTTTACCTGGTCCCACTCTGCTGCAATGAGAGAGCGCTGTGGTACTCTCCTCTCCTCGGGATAGACCGTGTACTGAATCCTTCATTCCCAAGCCCACCCCAGAGCAATGATTTAAATGAATGCACAAATGTATGTACATTTTCATTTTATTTTCCAAAAACTGAATAAAGGACCTGAGCAATGCCAGGTAAATCTTCTAGTACTATTATATTTTTGGTACTTTGGTAGTCTAGAAGCCTCCAAGGAAGACTGGAGCCCTCCTATGGCAATCGAGAAATTGTAAACAAGACTGCCATGTACATGTTCATCTCTAGATGTCATCACAGTTAACAACCCCACATGCATGAATGGGGTAGTTCACAATTTTCCCTGACAAATTTTAGCTAGAATAAGTTTTTACCCACAAAATAAAATAACATATGAAGTCATGTGGGGATTTTATTTTGGAGAAGATAGGGGATTAACAACTGGTTTTATAAAGGAAAATTAACTTACATCTTAACTACAGAGCACCAACAATGCATTATGAATCTAACTTTTAACAAAGTAATTATTGTCAACATTGAATTCTAAACTACCATTTGTGAAATGCTCTATTCACATGTGCCTTCAGTAAACAATATATATCAGAAAAAATAGTTTAATAAGATACGATAGACTTAGTATTTACATTATTAAAATAAAATGTCTAGAAAAACAAAGTTCCCATTTCTATTACTAGTGACCAGCCCTTTTCCCATGAGTGAAAAACTAAAGTAAGTTATTTTAAAGAAAGAGTATGAAATAATGAAACAAATATGCAATAATAAAGCACCAAGGGTAAAATGAATTTATACATAACACAACTATTTTTCATATTTTTGCTCTGCTTAGATGCCAGTTTGCCTTCTGGCTATAAACACATTCTTCACACACGCTGGGAATGTTGAGGAAAACTAGTCAGCATTCAGAGGATTAATACTGATTTCCAGCTCTGTGCCTTTAGGCTTAATAGTCAGACATCTATTTGTCCTCAGGAGAGGTTAGGGGTTGAAATGCAAATATTCAAACAACAGAATTCTTTGTTACAATATCAAGAAAAAACTTGATCTTTACTGCTGTTTAATAAATCCTTGCGATTTTATGGATTTATTTAAATACAGCATTGTGTCTTGCTATTTTGAACAAGAAAACAATGCAAGGAAACAAACACATTGATTCTGACTAAATTTGTTCTCTAGAGGAAAAATGACATACAATCTTGACAGCTTATTTACCAAACTCACTAAAGATTTATTGATTTATCAATCAGTGCCTTGAGCATTTGCTTCTCCTCTAGGGAAAATTAACAATCCCAACTAACCTAATATATTCTACATATAAACTAAGTGAATGAAAGAATCAATCCTGGCACAATTTACAACATCCAGTAACAAAAAATGCTGTCCCTTTTGGTGTATGTAAAATTGAAAGCCATGCTAAAGAAGAATAAATGTCTATGTTGCTTACTAACACAAAAAATATTTATTAAGACTGTACAATTGAACCCAACTACATTTTAAATCATTTAAATACTCAGTGGGAGGCAAAAGCATTTGAAAATATAAAATTGAATGATTTTGCATCTCGATTAATACTAAGTACTACCACTATTAGTTGCAATGCTGACATGCCTCAGAGCAGAGATATTTCACAACATGCTACAAATTCTCTTTAACTCTACCTGTAAAAGTCTAAGCTTGTCAATTAATTACTAGTTTGATGAGGTCAGATCAAAGCAAGTATCCTAAAGGAAGAATGTGACAGTCTAAGAATAATTTCTTATTTTAGCAAATAAATAGGGAAAAGGGTAATATTTTAAAAGGAATTAAAATGCATTTCAAACAAGCAACCAATTTAAAATGAAGGTGGGAAGAAGATAAAAGCAATAAAATATAACATCCATTTTCCACTACAAGTATTAAAATGTTCAAAAAATAGAATGCAAAATAATGTTAATGAAAGTTTGATGTGTATTCAAAGTAACAGGCATAGCAGTTCAATAAGCCCAACTGCAGCTCAATAAACCCATGCTACTGAGCTGAACTTCTGCAGCTCCTAACCACTATAGGAACCCAAAGAATGCCCCAAGTTGTGCCTCACAAACAAATCACACAATGGAGTTTCTCTTGTCAGTTCTAAAGAACAGCATTTCCCCTAGGCTTCATACCTGCAGCTGAGCTGCACAAGCCTATCTAAATACAGTATGCCCTGCTGTCACAGTTAGGATTATCTCAACAAGGTACATCTCCTATGAGCGTTAAAATCTGATTCATAAAATAGCTGCATTGCACACTTATGAAAACCTCATCTACATAGTTTCCTCTACTAAGAGAATAATTCCTATTCACAACAGTGTTTTGGAAGGTTTATGAAATATTAAAAAACTGCGTTGGAGGAAAAAATCTGAAATCCTTTTTAAAAAAAGGAATAAACAGATTGCCATCCAATCAAAGGACATGGTAAATCTAGGAATTATTGTAAAATACTGCCCTCTGGTGTTAAATCCATTTTAAATTGTGGGAGGGGGAGAAGGGGATTGTTGTTGTTATTTTTTGTTTTTACCTGAAAGATCCACCTCCAGGGTCATTCAGCTTGTTTTTCTGATTTGCAGAGACCTGAACAACAAAGCCCTCAGGACTTTGGCTGGCTTGTATTGTTGGTGCCTTCCCTACTGTGCCTGAAAAACACCAAGCAATGTTATTATGAGCTGTCTCAGACAATTTACATCAAAGAACCTTCTGTCCAGGAACTAAATTTAACTGTCTCTAAATTGCAAACAAAAGCAAGTTGTTATTTTTAAAGGTTCCACTGCTGAAGGAGAGAACAATTTTAAAAATAAAGGTGAATATTAACTTTTTTCAACGTTTACTTATGAAAAATTGAAGATTCTAATACAGCAAACCATTGTCCATAGCTGGCTAAAATACACTTAATAGCAATAAATATGTTTGAAACTATCAATAACCTGCTCATATATGTGTATGTGTGTGTGTGTGATTTGCACAAAATAAGCAAACAATAATTGAAATAGCTTCTTGTTAAAAAGGGTAAGAAAGTGGTACTAAGGATATCAATGTGTAGTCAAATATACGATTAACTGATAAGCCTGGGCTTATCAGTTAATCTTATCTACTACACGGACTCCCCCTTCCCCACTACCTCTGTATCAGAGGGAGCAAGGGGAGGAAGCATAGTTAGCTGAACTAATAAATTATTTTACAACAGATGCTTTTCTGTAACAAAAGGGTTTGCCTTGGCTGAGGACAACTTTGTTTTTAATTCTAAGATCTTTGTTCAACTCCAGTCTGAGTTCTCAAAACAAAACTTATTTGACAGTTTTTGTTCAATCCTTCAGAGTATTGTGCACTACAGCAACCTCTGTATGGTGCCTCAATCTTGGAAAATCCACAGTAAGATTTTGGCCCTCAATTTCTAGATCCAGGGAATGAACATTGTAACTGACATATTGAAGATCCATGAGATGACACAAATAGCATCAATCCTTTAGTTGGTCAATTCATGCATCTATTTCAGATAAACTAATTAGAAGACATTTCACTGAGTGAACTGGAAAGTATGGGATAATGAATGAAACAGAAGAAAAATTAACATAGTTCAGCATGTACTATTTCTGTTCAGGAGACTCAAAGGGGCATTAATAATAAAAAAGATGCAATAGCTCTGGCAAGATGTAACAGATTTAGTGTATGCTGTTAGAAATAAAGTAATGAAACAGTAGTAATGTTCATCCAAAGTTAATTAGCAACAATAGTTTGATTTTTCTATGCATGTTTAACTTTAATCAAAGAATATTACAGAAATAAAACCAATGCAGTAACTCAATCTTTTAGTTTCCTGAAATCAACCTAAACAAATATAAATTGTCATAGCTAAAGTGTATATAGAGAATTTAATTCCACTTGCCTTCACCCTATGAATATGAATTTTCTCAAATGGATCTGACAGAACATATTTAAAAGTGGGGTTTGATATCTGGGATAATGTTTACTTCCCTTTCTATTGTAAACAGCTACTGTATGTATCTAAGCAATAATTCCCTATGTTGCATACTTTTTGGTTGCAAGGCCCACAGCAAAAACAGAAACCTTGATACTGATAGCTCTATTTTAGGAGGCAGCTCAACATAATTTGCAATAACTTTCGTAAATCAGGATCAGCTGTTGAACTGGATACCTCAAGAGACACAGACATAGTCCTTCCTCTTGAGGTCATGATTTAAGCATAGGCAATAAGGTATGGAGGAATGAGCCAGAAATTAGGAGTGAATAGGTACCTGGTTCTAATCCTGACTCTACCAATGATTCATTGTGTAGCCTGGCAAGTTACTTTATCCTTCCCTCCACTAGCTCAGTTTCCCCAGCTGCCTGGTCTCATTCACACACATTTATACTGGTGTAAATACTTCAGTAAAGGGTATGCATTTTTACTTACAAGTATACGGTACAGCCTATCACATGGACACAGTTACATAAGTATAAAGATGCTTGACAGTCTTACACTGAGAAGTTGTACTGCTTTAACTATACTGGTAAAACTCAAGTGAAACAACTCTCTAGAGTGGATCCAGTTCTATGAGGGTAAAGGTAGTTTGTACTGGTATACATACTACTGTATGAGGAGGGAATGTCTTATACAATGTAAGACTCTCTTATATCAGCATAACTGTGTTTACTGGGTTGTACGGTTTTAGTTATACTGAGATAGTTAAAGCAGTATAACTTGTGTGAAGACAAGCCTGTAAACAGAGATAACAATGCTCATATCATATAGAGGAGTATAAATGCTAAGAATTATTCTTTAGGCAAGATTATGAATTAAACCATTACCATCTGATGGCCAATCAATCAACTACATGAAATAAATGTGCCTTAACAGAGATATGTCCACACCATGCACATTTCTACCACCATTAGCACTACTGTTGGCATTCTCAGCACAGAGGCCAATCACTGACGGGGCCCAGAAATCAGATTAACCTTCTCATATTAAGGCACACCAATGAGGATTCCAGGTGTGAAAGCTTATACTCCCATGGCATATTAAATAATCTTATATGTTAATACATTTAGGATTTTAGTGCCCGTGTTGTCAATCCAACAATACCTCTCTTAAGAAATAAACTCACTTCAACCCTGACTAGAAAAAGCAGACCCAAGTGTGAAACAATAGATCAGTCTCCATACTCATGCAACACTTAGCCTCTCTGAAGAGAATGGCCACTTAAGAGCGTGAACTGGTACTAACTGTAATGGCAAGTTTGTGAGGTATATACTTTCCCGTGAGGAACAGGGAGACCAAACAACTCATCAATAGACAGACAATAATGAATTTGTACATTCCTAAACTAGACTGGATTCAGACTGAAGACCTTAAGATGACACGTTCTGTATCCCATTACAAATCTTCAATTATCTGACTGCCTACATCCGAAAAGACATTTGCCAACTGTAAACAGAAATGAAATTTAAAAAGACACGTAATAAAGACGTGCAGGGGAACACATACATATAACCGTGAGGAACCAGTAATCTACAAGAACTTCTAGGGAGAAGAAGGGGGCAAGAAAAAGCTAGTCCATTTATCTACCTTTGTACAGCTGTAAGGAACATTCAGGGTCCAATACCCAAAGTCTCTTATATACCAGACTGGTTGTGGCTAGGCATTCTGCATGTGGCAGTCTTTGACATCACAAAAAAGTGACTTTGGTAGCAGATGATAGGCATATAGCTAAAATATTTCTCCAAGAGGGTACTACCTGTTCCTCTTCATCTGGAAAGATAGTGGCTAAAATATGTGGTCTCAAGGTTGAGAGAGAAAGCAGGAAGATTAAACTGAAGCATTCTCAGGGATCCCACAACAAAAGAAAAAGTCATATAACAAAAATATAGGAAACCAAAGTCCTCACTTCATTGGGACTGTCACAAAAGAAACTGCTGAGTGAAACCTAGGCAATTTAACATGTGGCCCTAAATTTGTAATCACAAAAGGTAAGTATATCAGTCTGAAAAATGTTAAAATTATATAGTGAAAACATGCATTTTCAGCCAGTAAGAAAGTAAAAGGTAATGTCAAGCCTGCCAATGTCAACACTGAGTTTTCCCCATGCTACTACTTTATAATAAAATTACAATGAAATTCATACAATGTAATATAATCTCACTAGAACATTTAAACCCATACCTTGTGGTCTAATGGTCTGAGTTATTACCACTGGCATCCTAATCTGGGTAGTCTGGCAAGCAGGGTTTCGTTTCACAGTTTGAGCAGATGTTGACTGGATAATCTGCTATTATTAAAAAAAAGTATACTTACATTATACTCTATACACAAACACACATGATATATTATATATATATTAACAGGTATAATTACTACAGGTTGAATCTCCCTAGTTTGGCATCTTTGGGACCTGACCAATGCCGAGCAAGAGAATTTGCTGGACCACAGGAGGTCAATATTGTCTAGCAGCATTACCAACACTTCCACTGTTTACTGGGCTCTTAGAGGACAGTTAGGGGTAAATTAGAGCTAAATAACAACACCGAACACTGAGAACCAGGACTGGTGGCTGTAAACAACTTTATGGGACTGCAGGAAACTTGGCCACATCCATGGTAAATGGACATCTGGCTAAATAAAATCATGCCGAATCATAGATGTTGCTGAACCAGAAAGTGCCAGACTAGAGAGGTTCGACCTGAAATATAAGCATGTGGGTCTCTAAAGCACAGCCAGGTGAAGACAAAAGTCCTATTTATGTAGTGCTTGTGTGTGCACATGTACATATGTCAGCAGTATGTTTCTGAAAAAGAATAATCCACATATATTCTTTGGCAAAAAAAAGTCATTTTCTTGATCTAAAAATATTGTATTTCATATGTGTGAGATTTAAAATAAAAATCCTAGAATTTTATATTTGAATAAAATTTTACTAAGAAGAAAAAACAGTTTAGAAAATCTTCATACTGGTCACTAATTTCACTGTTGTTCATCTACAGCTTCATAGGTTTTTTCATTTTTTACTATTTTTGTTAGTACACCTAAGCATTTTTAATAAATATTAAAAGTTAAATCTCATCAAGTGGTTATGCAAGACCTGCAATCAGACATGCACAAATGGGAAACCGGGATTTTTTTTATAGTGACAGGCAGCTTTCAACTTGTATCATTTATTTTTAAAATCAGAGAATTGTGTTGCTTCAGTTAATCTTGAGCCAAAGCCTATCACCTTATTGAAATTGTCAATTAAGTCAGAATAGGATAGGAACTTTTCAACTCCTTATAAATAAAATAACAAAATCTGCAAGGATCACATCTCAAGTATACCAAAATACATGTTCATAGTATCAGCAACAGGGTAGTACACATGTAAAACAGCAGCCTATCAAGTGTATACGGCTCTCTCAGAAGGAGAAGAAATCCACAAATAAACTAATTGGTTCAAGATAAAGCTATACAGACAACTCAGGGTCCTGAACATATCACAACTTATATACAAAACCCTGCAAATCCATGAATATCCGCTTTATATCCGCAAGTATCCAGATGTGAATGAAGATATCTGGGGCTCATTTTTGTGGCCACAGATGCAGACACCAATTTTGTATGTAGAACCCTTGCAAATTTGCAGATATCCATGGATCATTTTTGCAGATGAGGATACACTTTTTATATCTAGACAGAGCTTTACTCATACAACAGTCACAGTAATTGACATTCTTTAAAGTGAATGCAGTACCTCTCTTTCTCATACAAAATCATTAAACATTTCCTGCAGGATGACTATACTACAAAGCATATTACAACCTAACTTATGTGTTACACAGATCAAACAGGAGACAATGAATTTTTGTTTGGCTGATCAGCATTATTCTTATGATTTGTTCCCCAGAACATCTGAAACCTACACAGGCCAAATCCCAAACTTAAAAGGGAATTTTGCAGTATTATAAAATACAGAGAAAATAAGAAAATATGTCTTCAAATTAGTTTTGAAAATAGACTAAGAAGGAATGGCAGTAGTTTCCAGCACCAGAAATGGAACAAAAGCCTCCTACATCATAAGCAGTAAAATCATGGGAAGAAGGAAGGAGGTGGAGATGAGTTAGCAGACAGAATGTGAAGAGGAACCTAATGAAACACAGCTGGTAGGATACACGGAGGCAAGACCATGGTGTATTCAAAACATGGGGGGCAATTCTGAATTGTATCCTGAATTTAATGAGGAGCCAGTAGAGGAGTATAAAGATGGGCATGATATATTATGTTTCTTTGTAGGTGAGCAAAAATAGGCAGCAGCATTCCATATATGTTGTAATTTAGAAAAGTGGAAGGTCATTATCAATTTAAAGAGACAAAGGCATGCATGGATGAGGAATCATCATAACTGTGTATATAAGCAATGTTATGGGGGGAATGAACTTGCAAACACAGGAAAAATGGGAGGGATCAAGAAAGTTCAATGTAAAGGACACAGAAGGAAAAAAAGGATGAATCTATTAAGCTAGGAGATAGCGCAGGTAGATGTATTTGGGAATGCTCTTCTTGCCCAAGAGAAACACTTCCATCTTTAAAGCATTTGGATGAACCAAGAAAGGTAATGAGTAAATAGGGAAAAGTCATTAAAGATGATCATCATATGAGCATCTATGATGGTAGATACTTGAAGGTAGAAAATACAACATAGAAGAAAAAGAGCTCAGTAACTGAAAATATTAAGAAAAGGATAACTGAATTCAAAATACATCTTGATGCAAAGGAAAAACTGCCACTACATGTAGACTAAGGGTACGTCTAGACTACATGCCTCTGTCGCCAGAGGCATGTAGATTAGGCTACCAGACATAGGAAAATGAAGCGGCGATTTAAATAATCGCCACTTCATTTAAATTTACATGGCTGCCGCGCTGAGCCGACAAACAGCTGATTAGCTGTTTGTCGGCTCAGCGCGATAGTCTGGACGCACGGGTGTCGACATCAAAGGTATTTGTCGACCACCCAGGTAAACCTCATCCCAGGAGGCATCCCAGGAGTGTTTTAATAGGCAGGAAGATAATCGTCCACAATGCCATAAGGAACTCTGATTTGAAAGGCAGAAAGGCTAATTTGTCTCAACCACATCTCTCTCTAGCCACCATATTCACAATATGCTTTCAAACTATTTTTTTTTCTGGTGATAGCAGGTAAACTCTTCTTCTCTCTGATGTTATTAATACATGCTTTCTTTCCCTGAAACATTTTACTATTCTTTGAAGTCACAGATTTTAAAAAGCTGAGGTGGTCTGATACCAAAGACAAGGCAAATACTGACAGTTGCTTAACACAAAGAGAGAGAAAAGATGTGGGGCAATAGGAACAATAAAAATGGAGAAGAGGGTCAAGAGAACAGATAATTCTCTATGGAAACTCACACATGGGATAGACAGTATAAAAAGAGCCTAAAAATGCTGGGGTAGAAAGTGGAAAAAATTAAGGGGTTGTATGTTAGTCCCTTACTTGGCCAGGGTTGTAAGGTTTTAATCCAGCCCTTTGTGCATTAAAGCAAGTCTCACACAAAAGCACCTCAGCATACTGCACAAACAATGTTTTCACACAACTGAATGCAAAACATTGCAATAAAGACAACAGCTTAGGAAACAAACACACTAGAAAGAATACAATTCTGACAACAACATTCTCTGCTGGGTATTTTTTATTTTTCTCACAACTGAAAAAATATTGTGGACAATATAAATAAGCCACTTAACTTGTATATGCACACAATACAGAATGGCTATAGTCCAATATGACATTTATCTTCACTCATGAGTAAACACTTGCTAACTCACTTGTGGCTATGCCACTTGTGATTTATCAATCTATTCACTCCTGAAGATAAATGTCATATCAAACCTTAGCCATCATGTAATCTGGTAGCATTAACTCACTTCTGTCTTGCTTTGGTGGGTTTAGATTCCATATTTAATATTAATATTGCTATCCAGGGCCAAACTTTTACAACTCTTGCCTCAAAAATGATACTTGTAAAATTGCATGGGCAATTGTTTTTCCTCTCCTCACATTAAAAAAGGAAAAATAAAATAAATCATATGGTTCTTTTTCTCCACCATGACCAATATTGAGTTTCTAGATACAATCTTTCAAAAATCAGTGAAGTCAAAAAATGGAAAAAAAACCTTATTAGGTCACGTAAGTCCTCTCTCACTGAAAGATTGTTTTCTATAACATATTCTCTAGTCTTAACCATTTCAAGCAATGGGACATTCACTGCCTCTTTGGAAGATTATTCCACAATCTAGTAACGGATCTCACGGTAAGGATATTTTTCTTTATATTCAGACTAAATACTACTTTGCTTAATTTTATCCTTTTGATCCTATTTTATACTCCTTTGGATCATTCTAAATAATTCATTACCCTACTTTAATGTTTAAACCCTTAAAATATTTGAAAACATTTTTCATGTTCACCTTTTGTCACTGTTTGACCAAGCTATATTTTGCTCAATTCTCTTATTCTTTCCTCATAAATCTGTATCAATTACTATTTTTGTTATTTCCAGGTTCTATTTAATTTTCTGATTTTTGTATATGAAGGTATCTCAAACTACTTTGTATTTTTAGGGAAGTGCCACCATTGGTGGATAAAGGCCACAACAATGGTCCATAACATTGTAGTACCAAACTCACATTTGCCTTTTTACTCCTGGCTTTCATTCGAAATATTTATCAAATTTCCTGTCCATTGTCATGTCTTAGCTTCTTTCTGTATTAATGTCTTTTAAATCTACTGTGCACTGATTATTTGCATTTCAAATTTATTACATGTTCATATAGTTCAGAGACAGAACCTTTATCCATTGGTTCATTAATACAAGCCACGTTTTATTGCCTTCGGTGAGCTTCCTCTAATCTTCCTTTAAACCATTAGATACCTAATGGCCCATCCCAGCTGTCCTCCAAACAGAAAGTAGAGGAGAGTGGTGTCCACTATATCTCCAAAATACATTCAGGATCCACCAGATCAACAGTAAAGACTCAAAACTAAAGATTTCAGTAGAGTAGTCGGACAAAAGAAAAGTCAAAATATTTTACTTCTAATTTCCCATTATTACACTGACTTAGAAGCATTCCCAAGGTTGGCATAGTGGTTAAGAAATATTTCAGAGCAAATATTATTCCAGTAAGCCGTGGCAGATTAGTCACTGGGCCAAAGAGGCCTTGACCAACTGGGAAAAATGCCAGAGGAGTGGGGGAAGTCCCCACACACCAACCTGCTTCCCAGGAGGAGCACCAGGCAGGCAGAGCAGGGAAAGACCCCACAGCT